AACCCAAATCTTGCTGAAAAGGCACTGTGTGCTGGTGTCTCAAACAACAAAATAAACAGTGCAATTTAGGTTTTAGATTGGCGCACAACAGGGCAGAAAAGGGCCACTGTAGCGCGGGGGTGCCGGTGGCCAAGGCGTTACTCACACGTCACATTAGTCATTGCAGGGCGCGCAAGGGTTGGCGCCATCTCTGGGGCGTCTTGTGTACTGTAATTTGTCGCATGACATGAGCATGAATATGCAGTTTAACTTGGACAAATAATTATTACAAAAACAGTCGTGTCTCATGGTGCTATGGGTGTGCAGATCTAAGATATGCTACTGTTTGCGGCAGACAGCAGTGTGTGACGCCGGCAATCTGATCAAACGTGACTCGTCATTCAGGAGTCACGCAAGGTTTTGCACGTTACTCACAGTAGTTCCACACATGATTTATATTCGCGGAGGTTGTTGGGGAGCGCACCTGCAGCACGTCAGTCAAGTCGAGAAAAGGATGTCACTACGCAACGCCTCTAAGATCGCACTGTTTGCCTGGCAATGATTAAACTTGGGTCCAGTCGGGAAACACGAAACACCTTTCCCAACTTACCTCTAGTTGACTTGTGCTGATCACAGTACCGCGCACATGGCCAGCAGCAGCGTAGTTGCTCAAGTCGGCGCGGCAGAGCAACAGCACGAGCAGCGCGCCGCTCCTGGCAGTGCTCCCCCGCCTATGCTCGGGTTAGACATCCTGCGTCTGGTGGTGGCGCGCATCACAGATGGCCGTACCAGACACACGCTGCGGCCGTTGCGTGCAGGCCTGCGGAGCTTGGTGAACTCAACCACAACCAAGCTCGTCTTCAAAGGGTCGCGCGACGCCACCGCAGCCATGCAGCACATCGCCGAGCGATGCGAGCAGTGGCCAAGCCTGGACTTCGTGGTGCAGGCCTACCCCCGCCTGGACTGCGCCAGCACGCTGGTGCAGCTTGTGGGCGCTGTGGGCAGGTGCGGGGCCGGTTTGTGCTGCCGGGACAGCTATCCTCTACCACATCAGACATAAGACCGTGGCATTGGTTGCTGCTGGACCCCCGTGCCCACCGCCATGGCAAATCAGATCACTCAAACATCCGTACATTTGGACCCTCTCCTGGGGTTCTGCTAGGCAACTTGCGCAGGCTACTGGGCGTGCGGCCTGCCGGAAGGTTGGGCGGTCCTGAAACTCACACCGGGGCGGGTGTTGGTGGTTCTGTGGCAGGTTGGGTTGCTGCGGCTGCGCACAAGCTAGCCTGGCAACAGCAGCGGTTGAGCAGGCCCGTGAAACTCTGCACTCACCCCAGCACTCCTCACAAATGTACTGCCTGCCGCCCGCATTCAGCATCTCGTCAACGGCCAAGGCGCTGTCAACTCAGAACTGGCAACCGTCCTCGAGCTCGTGACATCACGTGGTGTGTCACTGTGTTGTGTGTTTACAGTCACTAGTAGTCATGGTGATGCCATTAGGGTGACTAACATGTCCCAGGGGGCAGTGCCAGCTGGGCAGCACCCTGCCAAAACATTTGTGGGGAGTGTGTGTCTGATCTGGGTGACGCCACTGCCGTGAGACTGCGTCTGTGGGTAGCAGCGGCGTCACGGCTTTTTGCCAATTGCCCATGTTGTGCTGCCACAGGCAACAACCACTGAGCAGTGCCCTGCATGCTGCAGGAGCTGTGTAAGGACATTACCAATGTGCCAATGTGCGACCTGCACTATGCCAGTGACAATCCTGTTTGATTGGGCTGGATCCTCCCGTCAGGCACAGCAACAAAGCTCCTCAGCTGCACAATCGCACCCTCCGCACGCATTGATACGCAGGAGACAACCCCACCGCACCAACAAGCACATGAGCAACGCCGGGCGCAACGTCCGAGTGCCATGCGACGCTGGACACTGCAGGTCAGTTGAACAGGTGCGGCTGCAGAGCGCTCAGCCCATGGCCCAGGGACACGTCCGTATTCAGTCATTCACCAGCGAGGCAAAGCCAAGGCAGCAGGAAGCCACAATTCACAAGAGCAGGAGGGGACCCGGACCTAGGACAAGAGAGGGTGGAATGCGTCACCGCGAAGCAGGCCCATCTCCTGTTCAGCATGGCTTGCGCGGGCAATGACTTGGAATGCGCGCTCGCGGCCCGCGCACGCCTTCAGCGCCACCTCGAGCACGTCCGGCGTGAGCTCCTTGTCAAACGTGCAGGCATCCACTTCCATCCTCTGCAGCTGTGGCGCACGCGAGAGCTCTAGCAGCTCCGCAAAGCTGACCCCTTTGACGCAGTCAAGTCGCAGGTGCTGCAAAGCGCCGCACGCCGACAGGGCGTCAAGCCGGCCTTCCAGCTCCATTCCATACTCCGGGAACCCCGCCACGACACGCAGCCGTGTGAGCGCGGTCAGCGACGCCACGGCCTCCCAGGCCACCACGCCCTCGTACCCACCCCACACAGTGCCCAGCGTCAGCACGCGCAGCGCGGGGAACACCGCGTGCATTGGCATGTTAGAATATGATCTGCGGCCGTCAAAGCTTGCGTGCAGGGTGTGCAGCCGCGGGAACGACAGCGGGGAGGGCGTCGAGCCGCGCACGCACACAGCCAACTCCTCCAGGTCAGCGGCGTGAGACCGCAGGCGGTTCAGCGAGCCCTGCACCGCCGGGCGCAGCTGCGCGAAGTAGCCCGTTTGAAAGACGTAGAACGCCAGCCGCCGCAGGCGGGGGGCCGCCGCAAGGAGCCTGGCGCAGTCGAAGCCAAAAAACCTGGCCTCTGCCTCGTCATCTTCGCTGTCGTCGCTCTCTGAAAGTACGCTCTCCTCCTTTGCAGAGCCCGTGAGTTCTGTGAGGCGCGTGAGCTGCGAAAAGGGGCGAGGTGGGGGTGGCGGTGCGGGCACTGCTCAGCCCTCTGCATTAGCCGCATGGGCCTGCCAAGTTGTAGATTCGATCGTTGTTTGTCATGTGTCCCACAAGGTGCTGCAGGGTTGGACCGCTGAAGGCGAGCGAGGGCTGGGTAGTCCTTACCATCACCGATCCCACAGGACAGCAGAGGCCATTATGCAACCCGCGCGCTTAAGGCGCAGCGCAAGGCACGAGCGCACCTGCTTCAGGGTGTTGTAAAACACTGACAGCTCGTCGAACGAATGAGGCTTGATGCCCAGGTCCCGCGCCTCCAGCCACAGCAGCTGCAGCGACTCCAGGCCCGTGCAGGCGCCCACGCAGTCCAGCCATGACGCGCCGCCAATCCCGGCCCAGGCGTGGTCGTGGCCTGCCAGGTGCAGCTTGCGCAGTCCGGGTGGCAGCCAGCGGCTGCTGGCCGCGTCAGCGCAGCCTGTGAAGCGGAGGCTTGTGAGTGCTGCCAGGCGGCCTAGGGGGGACAGCAGCAGCGCTCCTGCGTCCCCGTCATGCGCGAGGTCCAGTGAAGTCAGCTGGGTCAGGCAGCCGGAAGTCGAGAAGGCAGCCAGGAAGGAGGCCATTGCCAGGACGATTGCCTGTGGGAGCCGCGCGGCTGACAACCGCTGGAACCCAGCACAGTGCCTGAGGCGCGTGCGCGTGTGCGGCGGTGAACGGGGGTTTGGTAAGTGTGGGCCACAAGTGAGCTGGGTTGCCCTGGCGGCGGGGGCGGCGTTTCATCAGCGAGCATGGCTGCTGCAGCGCAGTTTTGACGCGGTAGAGGCCAGCTTTGTCGGCACACACCGGCCGCGCACCTGCCTAGAGATCCCAAGAGCTGCACCAGCGCGCTCGCGCACTGCTGGCCGGGGCGGACCAGCACCACGCATTCCAGGTTTGGCCACTGCTCGCATCGCTCGGCGACGTGCTGCATGGCCGCGGTGGCGTTGCGCGTCCCTTTGAAGACGAGCTTGGTCGTCGTTGAGTTCACCAAGCTCCGCAGGCCTGCACTGGATGCCCGTAACATGCGCCTGGTATGGCCATCAGTAATGCGGGCCACCACCAGGCGCAGGATGTCCAAACCAAGCACCGGCAGGGGAGCGCCGCCAGGAGCGGCGCGCTGCTCATGCTGCTGCTCTGCCGCACCGACTTGAGGCACAACGCTGTTGCTGGCCATGCACGGTATTTTGCACAAATTGACTAGAGGAAGTCGGGGATGGGTTCTTGCGCTGCCCGATCGGACTCAGGTTTGAATTATTGCCAGGCGAACAGTCCGATCTGCTTTGCTGCGGTACACTGTAAGAGCCGCACGATCTAAACAACGTTGACGCGTCCGTCATCCAGCTGACAAACATGCTGCAGGCGCACAACCCAACAGCTCCCGCCAAACACTAGCAGCGTCACTGCGTGTCTGATCTCAGTGACGCCCCTGTCGTATTGTGTGTCCGTCGCTGCCTTGCCCGGCGCTTGCGTACTGCCTACATGTGTCTGAAATTTTGGAAAGCCTGTTGGCGTGTACACTTTGAATAGGCCCCTGGCGCGTGGCATGGTAACGCCTAGCACCCCCCCCCCACACACACACACACACAGCGCCTCAAAGTGCGTGATTTCATGATGCAATGCTAACCCAATTGCCATCGGCTGCCTCCATCATCCCTTGATGGGGGATTCTAACACGTACGTAGTTGCACATTCTCCCGTACGCAGCTGCCAACACAACAGCAGACAAGTGACACCCAAGCAAGGCATGAACTCCGCACTCCTCCGAAACAACAAAACACGTTGACCATGACACGCCATGTCCTCCAGAAAGCATGCATGGGGGACAAAAGGAGCCTTGCGGTTACAGGCCTTGCACCGGGCCAAACCTGCGCCACGCTTCAAGCAGGGGCCGTAAGTGTAACGCACCCTCTCCACTGTGTGCTACTCGCTGCCATTGCTGAACGCGCCTCGGATGGCCTCGTGCACTTCGCAGGTCAAAACCTTCATATCTTGACCCACCACCTTGACTTGACGGTCGTCACGTTGCAGGCGCACACTGTAGGGGGTTGGACACCAGATAAGCTCCGACGCCAAAAACTGAACGTATATCATACTGTTTACACGCTTGGCAAGATCAATGAAAGGCGCAGGCAGGCGCTGGCGCTGACGCTCCTGGCGCAATGCTGACTGGATGACCGGGTGGCCAGCAGCAGGCGCTGCATCGCCTTGTCAGCAGTGCGTGCAGAGCAGGTGCTGCAATTTTCCCGCGATCGCAAAATGGTTTTCTGTAACTTGCGTGCAGCTGGTTCGAAAAGTTTGCTTGCTGCAAAGGGATGCACATGGTGTGAACAAGCGTGAGGATGGGCGGGGGGTCATAACCTACATGACACTCTTCAAGAAGGCGGCACGCCGATCTAGTCAGCGCAATCTAGCAGAGTTCTGGCTTGCCAATTGTAGTCAACACGGACGGACTCTACTCAGGAGATTGCCCCAAGCTAGTGCGTGGCAGCTCCGCTGGCCGCACCGCGCTGCGGGTGATCCTGCCCTGAGTCTCTGCGCCGCCGCCATCGCCGCCATCGCCGCCGCTGCCGACGGCGCCACTGCCCAGGTGCAGCGGCGGCAGCCGTCCGCGGTGCTTCTTGCTGGCCGCGCGAGTCCGCACCCCTGCAGCGCCGCCGCCGCCCCCCGCGATGCCCTCCCTGTCGTCGAGTGGTGCAGGCCCCTCCTCCCCTGCCGCCGCTGCTGTAGCATCAGCGACAACTTTCGCAAGCGCCTCATTCTGCGCCGCCTCGCCGGCCCCTGCCTCGCTCGTGTCGGCACCCTGCAGCACCTGTCCCTCGGCGGCCGCGCCCGGGGCCGCGGCGGCGCCGGGCTCATCGCCAGCGCTGTCGCCGCCGCCACTGCGGCCGCCGGCCGCGCTGCTGCCGCCGCCGCCGCCGCTCCCAGACATAAACATGTACAGCCGGACTTTCTCCTGGGGTTCGGCCTGGGTGCCGCTTCTGGCCCCAAGGCTGGCCAGCTTGCGCAGGCTGATGGACATGCGGCCTGCTGCGAGGACGAGCGGTTCATGAACCAAACATTGGGGCGGGTGGGGGTTGGCTGGTGGAGGAGCAGAACATATGTTGACGCGCGCGCTGGTGAAACACCTCTGCTGTCGACAAGTCAGATGCACGCCTCATCAGCAAGGGATACTCCCGGCTGCCGCTTGACAAACGAATGCATGTTGAAAACAACCCCGAGCTCACCCAGCGCCCGCTGCGCGTCTCCCTGTCGGCCAGACGGAGGCTCGTCTGGCGCGGCCGTCACGCGCCCAGCCTTCCTCAACCTCACGACGCGCGCCGCAAACAGCGCCAGCCCCGCCGCGCCGCCGATCGCCACGCAGACGCCGAGCACGACAGACAGCCCGTGGCTCGCACCCGCACGGGCCGCGGCGCCCCCGTTTCCGCCCGCGGCCGCCCCGCCGCCGCCACCCGCGGCCCCGCTGCCGCCGCCGCCGCCGCCTCCCGCGGCCGCTTGGGCCTGAGCATACGACGCAATCAGCTGGTCCAGCGAGAGCACGCCGCTCGACGCGCCGCCGCCCGCCGCGCCGCCGCTGCCGGCGCCGCCGGCCCCGCCGCCGCCCGTCAGGTCGATGCCGGGGCCGACCGCGGCCTGCGCCTCCGCCGACGGCGCCTGCGTCAGCTCGACCTTGACGCTCACGTCCAAGATGGGTATCCCGAGCTTGCCCGCCATCGACCCGTTCGCGACGCTGTCGCGCAGCGCCGCAAACACGCGTGCCAGCTCGTCGCTCGCGGCGGCCGCCGGGGGCGCCGCGGCGGCGGCGGCACTGCTGTTGGCTGTGCTGCTGCTGGTCGGGGCGCTGCTGTTGGTGCCGTCGCTGCTCGGGCTGCTTCCGGTGGGGCTGGCGGCGGGGGCGGCTGCATACGATGCCATGTAGGCCTGCTGCTGGTCCTGCGATTGGGTGAAATGAAACTGTAGTGAACAGGCCTGCAGCTGCGCAGCTGCCATGCTCTTGCTCAGCAGTAGAGAGTAATTCTTGGGTGGCATGCCAACCGCGACATACTTTGCATGCACGCCAAGCTGCAATATTGCAGGTCAGCAGGTGTTGAGTCAGGTGTGAGCCAGCGTGCACCCTGGCGACAACCGGCAGCCCCGCCTGGGGCCCCCGCTCACGGTGGGCAGTGCCGCCAAATAGGCCGCTGTGGCAGAGTCGACGTTCTTTGAAGTGTCGTAAACCGGCTCTGCTATGGGTGCATTTGCGACCACCGGGTCCTCTCGGATTACGTAATCCAGGATTGTGGAGCCAGGGACGATCTGAGTGGGTGCATGGTGGGGGTTGGTTGGGTGAGGGCAAACACAGGCCAAAAATTGTCAGCGTGGTTCTGCGGTTGGACGGGCTCGTGTTCCCAGCTCAGCTAATGGACATGGCTGCAGCGGCGGGCGCTCTGACTGATCGCGCAGCGTCCACCTGCCACAGCCCACCTTGACGATCTTGATGCGTGACACATCAATGCCCAGCACAAACGCAAGGTTGGCCACGAACTGGTCCTGGGCCGCGTAGAAGTCGTTGACTGATATCGCCAGGCGTTGTGTCACCTGGTGGGTGTGCAAGCGTGCACGCGCACTGATGAGCCAGCCGTGAGCGTCAGGTGCATGCGCAATCGAGGATTGGCCTATTGGCCACCTGTGAGGCTGGGCCCCTCGCACCTTGTTGCAAGTTGCGCCCCCCCCCCCCCACGCGCCATCACGCACCCAAGCAAGTCAATCAACCAGCCAACCAACCCTCCACCAGCCCACCTGGATGATGTTCTCTGAGCGCAGCTCCAGGGGGCCCCCCTGCCCCGTCATCTTGACGGTCATCAGTGTCGTGTTCTGGTCCCAATAGAAGTCCCCGTGCCCAGAGGTGCCGTCCCCGACGCGCGGCGGCGCAGCCAGCGGCTCCACGCGAAGCCGCGCCTCAGACCAGACGAAGCGCCTGCGTGGGAACGGTGTGATGGTGCCAGGCGTAGGAGTGTGGATGTCGAATCAAGAAAATTTGTTCCTTGCGCACGTGCACATGCGTGTGCATACGCGCACGCGTGCACGCGCGCGCGCGCATACACACACACACACACACACACACACACACACACACAAACACACACACACACACACACACACACACACACACACATGCACACACACACACACACACACACACACACACACACACACACACACACACA